TATACAATCATTAGGACATGCATGTATTTTCTTGTACTCTAAACCCATTGGACATAATATCTTCTTTGCCTCATAGTTACGAATAGGTAATGTATTATCTTCGGGAAGCATCTCCTTCAACAACTCCAATAATTCGGTGAAACTTTTATCGAGTCCATCCATTTCTTGCTTTTAAAGTAAACAATTTTAAAGTTGCTGATAATCTTGTAAAACTACATCCTATGTACAATTGTTGCGCAAAATCAGATTTCAAAGAATCATATAGATGTGCTTTCATAAAATGTTCTTCACCAATATCACGTATCATATCCTCTAGATTATCATTCATCCCTTCATCAAAATTGTCCGTAGTTGACACAGTTGGGATGTCTAATATTTCTCCATGCCATGTCCATATTGTATAACTCTTAATAATACCATAAACAAACAAGTGATCACGTATATCCTCAAGTTTATGACGAATTTGATTCAAACAACGAACACATGGACAATAATATGTCCCTTTCATAGCTTTTCCATTTTCACTAGCAAATTTCGAAATTCCTCAACTCCCTTTTCGTACTCTTCACTAATACGACGTGCATTCATCCAACTTCGATTCATATTATGTTATAAAGTTTCGTCACTCCTAAAGATTTAAAAATTATATGTAAAAAAAAATTAATATACAAACAACAAAGCACGTTCCAACAACAATGGAGTGTGTAAACCGAATGCACTCAAACAAATAAACAAATAACTACATTCCAATAACAATTCAGTGGAGACATTCATACTATAACGTGATTGAGATCCCCAAAAACAATCACGGATTCAATGTAAATATATAGCAATGACAATGAACACTAACCTCGAGTGTAGACGAAAACTGATTTCAAACTCGAATCCAATCGGGGAGAAAGATGAAGTTCGTCAAATGACACGACAATGTAGATGCTTTTCACTGTAAAACTGCTCGCAAATGGTGTGCAGAGGTAGCTGTTGTCGTCGTTCTCGTCGTCGTTCTCAAAAACCCTGGTTGCGCGAGACGAGGAAGTGGGCTGGGAGGGAAATAAAATAGACTTTTTACGTCGCGCAGTGCAGCAAGCGACGTAAAAAGTCATCTTTTACGTCGCACCTGGGAGGCGCGACGTAAAAGGCTATCTTTTACGTCGCGCCACCTCGGTGCGACGTAAAAGATGACTTTTTACGTCGCATATTGGGGTGTGCGACGTAAATTTTTTGTCCCATATTTACAAAATTGCCACCGCGTTTTATTTACGTCGAATATACGTGCATGCGACGATAATTGGGTGACGTAAAAGCCCTATTCTGTACTAGTGTTTCTCGATTCATTTTTTCGATATATTTGTAATTTTTAGACTTAACAATTACAATAGTTGTACTCTCATTAAACAGATTCCTTGGGTTATTAAAACGGGCAGCCCAGCCTCGCCCTACGGGCCAAGAAAAAAAAAATTAATAGCCCAATCTGATCTATATTTTAAAATGAGCCAAAAAATTTGTCTAGTCTGACCCTATGTTAAACTAACTGATTAACAGGTCATTTTTTACCTATTAAAAATATTTTTTGTATTTATATAATTCTTTTTTTTAATTTTCGTTAAAAAAGAATATGTCATTCATTTGTTTATTTAAAATTAACCCATAACATATTCAAGCAAACTAAAATCAAATGTATAAAATCATAAAAATGAGATGTTACATTCATGTAGCCCTGAGAAATTATAGTTGTTAATCCATCAGAACTCAAACATATCCTACCAAAAATATTAGATAACACATCTTTTAGCTTTTTCTTTTCAGTTAAATACACGCTATAAATATTTGTAATTGAAGTATTTCTAATAATTGGTTTAAAATATCCTACCAAAAATATTAGATCATACATCTTTTAGCTTTTTCTTTTTTGTTAAATACACCTTATGAACCTCTTGAAGTATTTCTAGTAATTGGTTTAAAATACCTCCCAAACTCTCTTATACTTAACATGGCTAAATTAAATATCACGCTTAATAATGCATATAACAAGTGCATCTCATTAAATTTTAGAGTCAAATTTTTATTACTTCAACAAGATAACTTTATCATCAAATATAACTTGCATATCATGATATTATGAAAATATATTATATTTAAGAATATGTCGCCTTAAATTTTAGTTCTTAAAAGCACATGTGACAAGCAACAATAAAGAGGAAGATGACCAAAGCAAAAAAAGATTATGTTTAGAGTTCATTATTCTTTCTAAATTATATATATAACAAAATATATTATGAAATTAATTTATTATACATATATTTTCTAATAAAATAATATTACTTTTATTTTATTGATAAAATAATAATTATTTTATAAAACGGGTCAACTTATAAGCCTACAAACTAGCCTGATCTAAGTCCATTTAGGTCTGACCTAAATAGGTCGGGCCGAAATTTGTCTTATTCTATTTAGCCATAATTTTTTTGGCCTAACCTAATCTATTTTTCGAGCTAGCCTATCGGGTTAAGCCTATTTTGATATCCCTGCAAATTCTAATGAATATATTTGTCTTACTCAAATAAGTTCACTAGTTATTATATTTCAATTTTTATGACCTGTTACACTTTTACTATATGTGTATCTTGCATTATCCACTTGTTTTGTATTCACTTTTTTTTTCATTGTTTTCCTTTAAGGTAAGTAAAATATTTTTAGATTTTACCAAACTCTCTGTCATATTATTAACTAGCATAAACTTTTCATTACTTGTTAATCTACGAGGGTATAGATGACATACCTATGACTTGCATAAACTAAGTTCAAAATCCATCATTTACCATTCTTTACCTATTTTCCCACGATTTAAAGGGACACTCACATTTTTTACTCCCTATAATAGTTAAATGGGAATGTTTCTTGTATTGTTTATATTTATCATCTATTTTACAACATAACAATACATATGTCTCTTTTTTTTTAATGATAATTTGTTATATCCCACATCAGTATAATAACTACAAATTCAAACCTAAATGCAACTTTTTAAACCATTTTAGTAAATCATCTCGTGTAACAAATATTTATGACATTAATATATAATTAAAATTATACCTCATCTGTTGTGAATGTGTTAGTATAATCAAATAAATTATTAAGAATGTGTTTCACTGTATTAATATTATTAAACTATCTTCTTCTATTGCATTTATGTAAACCAAAAGTTGAAAAAATATCAATACATAGTCTAATATTGTTTTTGGAACACAATTACAAAGTGGAAGATCCGAAATAGGATTTTCATATTCGATTTTTCGGAATTTACGAATTTAATTTTTTGGAAATACTTTCCAGAAAATCAAATGTAGAAATCTTGTTAGGGATCTCATGCTCCATAATTGTATTTTGTGATATTTAGATATATTGTGTGTGTTTTTTTTAATAAAAAAGATAGGAATTACAAACAATTTAAGAATCAGACTTGAAAGTTCTTAAAATAATGAATTATTGATTGATAACAATAATTGAAGGAAAAATAGAAGGATTTAGGGTTTAAAAACCATGAACAAACACTTACCAAAAGAAGATAGATGAAAGGATAAATTAATTGGGTTTTATATTAATTATGGGAGTGCAGAGAGCAATTGTGGTTGTAGAGGAAAAAACAACCTTATTATATTTCAAGCCCAATGAATGAGACATAGTTTATCACTGTCCAACAGAACATACAACAATCCACGAGTCTTGGGCCTTGCATTATCAACCTCCGTCCACCTTGAATTATTCTTATAAATAGATATCATCCTTTAACGATGAATCAAAATTGAAGATTATATAAATATTGTAAAAAAATAAATATAAAAATAGATAAAGGGATTAAATATCTCTCAATTTTAAAATAGAAAATAAAAAATTTAAATTGAGAAAAATAGAGAAATAAAAACTATGTTTAAAGTATTTTCTTTTCACGCATTTTCTTATGAAAATACATATTGTGATGTAAATTTATTCGTAAAGTTAATCTAGTTTATCTTATTTACATATACATATTTAAAATATATATTAGTAAAGTCAATCTATCAAACCTAAAACATACATGAAGAAAAGGAGGGTAGAAGTGAGTTAGCAAGCCATGTGCCAATAAATAAAGAGACATGTGAGAAATACAACGAGAAACAAACAGAAACGCTGTGATGGACAAATGCACACACTACAAAACAAGCATCAAACACACCGTTGCATAAAATGGATAAATAAAAAATATATTGGGAAGACAAACATCAAATTATTTAAGCAATCATCTGTTAATTGGGAAACACCCCACTCCACACTGACCCTGACAAGAGAATCAGGCAACGACCCATGCGGTGTGTTTTAGAGAAAAAAGACAAATTCAAAAGTGGAGTGCCATGTGATCACCATGGATTTTTCATGCTCAATTGTTACCCTAATGCTTCCACAAACAGCTTATTCACTGCTGCCACATTTTCTCGTGCTTTCCCTTTTGGCATATGATTACACAGCTCATCATTTCAATTACAAGGACCCCACTATTTGACTAAAACAAGACCATAGTCAATCACAAACTTGGTCTTTCACATTTGACATTAATATTTTGCTTCCTTTTGAGGTCTGTAATAGGACACATTTTTTGTTCAATGAAAGAGCACAATCAACAAGGAGATTGGTGATGCACCAAATTTCATCATAGGTAATCAACATAGGCTTAATTGAAAACCCCTTTCATATATGTTTTGGAACACACATATTAGTTTTCTCTAGGTGCTTCCATCTCATTGACAACGTTATGTACTTCTTGGTACAGAGTAGGAGCTTCAGAAGAACAAGTAGAGTGAAGTTGTTACCAGATTCAATAATTAATTAATCAAAAAGCCAATAACTAGTGGAAGGAGGAGAAAGAGATCAAGAGGCCAAAAACTAACGTCCCCAAGTTCAACACCTAGAAAAACAACATTCACATTAATACAGTGACATCGATCATTTTGTTTGCACTTGTGTTCTCAACCCCAGCAGAAGATCATGAAGGCAGAGAATAGGGTGATAGAGAAGAAACTAGAGTGCATTAGTCTAAGGCCACCATGACTTTCATCATTCATGCCAGATCCCGAAGGTCCCATGCCAGTGCCAATGCCTCCTAATACTCCAGGTGTTGTGCTGTATGGAGTAGTACCAGTGCTGGTGCTGGTGCCGGTACCGGTAGATGGGGTTCCAGTACTAGGAGTGGTGCCCATGGTTGGTGTAGTTGTGACAGGTGTTGTACCAGTGCCTGCAGCACTATTTAGACAAAGGATGAAATCAATACTCAACCACATGTTCTGTCTCAAACAACAAAAACACAATAGCTAACTACCACTAGGATCTAGGACCATTACATATTATGAGAGTTGATGAAGCTGAATGAAATCATAACCTCAGTCCACATTCGATACATGAATAACAGTAAACACATGCTCAATGAAACACACATGAATAACAGCAAATTATTAATCATACCCTTCTTCACCTCAATAAGCCCATTAAGTTCTAAAACACTACAACCGATTTACTACCTCCATGCTCATTCTCAATTCCCAACTAATTCTTTTTAAGTTAATAATGACTCCAGCATTTGGTTTTAACATAGTAACATTCACTAATATTCGCAACAGAAAAGATCTTTTGTGAGATTTGCTTTTATAAACAATTGTCCTTCAGCTGACACACAATAATGGAAGCTAGTGCCAAGACTATTAGCTAATTGACTGGTAAATAAGAGAGCAAGGTAACTGCAAAAAGCAATACTCGTAGTATTGTTTAGAAAAAAAAAAACCCTTTCACACATTGGCGGGTTAAAAAAACGAAACAGATGGAGATAAACTAGTGAAAGCGATGGGTGGCAAGAACTGTCGTACAAAAAGATAGAAAATACGTCGACTTTTCGAAAAGTTTGATGGCCCAGATCTCGAAGCAAGTGTTGTCCATGTTCAAAATTCAAACTTATTCATGAAATATGGAAACAAGATACTCCCACACTGCTCATTGCGCACTGTTAACCATCCAAACACTGTCCTCCACTTATTTTCTTACTGTAATGATAAATGAGGGCATTTCTGTCTTTCGGTTTTTTTTTGCCAAAAATTGTAAAGCAAAAAGCAAAGGATAAGATAGTTCAAGTGGGACAAACTTGTCATTTCATAATGGCAATGCCCAATAATTTTTATTTCAAAGAGATTCAAACTTTACTGAAGCATCGGATACCAATTATTGAAAGCATCTTTCATTAACTCGAAGTTGAATGTCTCGCTGCAACGGCTATGATCACCAATAAATGGGTAATGAGTTACAGCCTATTATGAAAATGAACAAAAAGGACTTTGTCCATGTTGGATAGAACCACATGTCAAACCAATTTTATTGTGCCAACGAACCATTTGAAGAACTTTTTTTATTCCATAGGTCAAATAAAAAGTTAATAAATAGAGGAATTTATTTAAAATCAGACTTAAAGATTTTAAACCCTATTTTGCTTGTACCCAATAAATTTTATTTTCTTCGACTCATCTTATTGCCTTCAACTGCACTACACTCCTCATCAAAAGTAAGGCTATTATTATTCTGCTTTTGGATGTTCATCATCATTTGCTCCGACTTCATAAGCGTAATCATGTCGGGTTTCTACTTGAATAAATATTGAGTAATGTTTGCTTTATTTATATACTTTTTTATATTCCACACAACTTTCACATATTTTTATCATGATTAAAGGAGAAAATTTGAATTTGAACTTTTCTCCACTTTCTTTTATGATAAAAAAAGAGTAGCACGGCTGTGGTACCATACTTTAGTTTCAGAATACAAAAAGTGAAAAAAAAAAACTTTAATTGGAACGTGAAATTCCTCCGTTCAACATAATCTGGCATATATTTTACCATCCATTTTAATAATACCATAGTAAAAAAAAAAAAGCCAAAGTTAATTATAATGATAAAAAAGTTTCGTATGAGCGTTACTTTATTTAAAATATTCACCAGTTTGGTTTCTTTCGGAACTTTATTTATCACCGTAGCAACACTGCACACGTATGAAAACTTAAAAAACACTATCACACGAACGAGCTACGAATATGCCCCCTATTGCAAAGCACTACAACCTAAAGAAAACTCTCGTTTATAGATAAGATAACCTACTAATCTATGCAAGTGCCCTAACCCCGATTATTTTTTATTATGGTAATCAAAAGATGAAAGTTCAATATCAACATTAGCACCAGCAAGCTTCAAATGCTAAAACTTTACGCAAAATGGAAAAGAAAGCATATTAAACCAAAGGAACAACAAATAGGAAGCTTGAGTATGAAGAACATAAGAATGAAGAAGAAATCCATACCTGACACTTGAAGGGTAGACACAACCGCTAGTGCCTGTTCGCCAAGAAGGAGAAAAGAGAAACAGGTAAAAGGGTAAGCCACTGCTGATGTTGAAAGGAATATATGCCAAGATAAAAAAAAAAAAAAAGAGAGAGATTGAGGATTTACTGGGGTCAGATGCAGTAACAGTGGCCGTTCCTGCAAACTCACAGGACCCTTGAGTTTGACCCTTTCTTTGGAAGTAGCTATTCACGGCGTAGCTGCAGTGGGCCCTGACGGTGTTGGGCTGGAAACAAGGCCCGTTTAGATGGAGAGGGTTACAGTCAGCACCTGCTCCACAAGCATAGTCCAACGTTTTCTGCAGGATCGCATCGCCTCCATCTTTGCAAACGCACCAAGTTGCACCTGTAACAGTTTAAACAAATCAGTGAACAAAGATAACAAGTGTGAAAGAAGAAAAGGAAGGATATTAGTAGATCATAGTATTAAGAAATGTGGAGTGGCACACTCTTGCACGACTGAATATGTCCCTATCTAGAATAGAGTTTGCTCTTTGAAGATTTTGTGAGAAAATAGAAAGGAGAGACATAGATCCAGATGTTAAAATATGGAAAGAGGTGTTTAAACTAAAAAAAGAAGTAAAACTTGTAAGCTTGAGTTAGCAAAAAGTGGAAGTTGGAAGCTTACTTGAAGTGCCACTGAGAGCGAAAAGAAGCAGTGCAAGAGCTAGAGCAGCCATGTTAGGGGAAGAGGTAGAGCAAAGGTGTGGTAGAGGAGAGAGTGAGAGTGAGGAATGGAGAATGGAGAATGGTGGGTGCGTGACAGAGTGTGTGAGATGAGATGAGAATATGAGGACAAAATATAACACAGGGGAAGGGAAGAGAGGGGATGGTAAAGTTGTGTAATGTGTAAACGGTGGGATGATAGTTGGCCCCCTTTCGTGTCGGCTTGTGAATGCTTTTTGTACTTTTGCAAGTTCAGTCTCACATCTCCTACTAAATGTGGTTAATAATAATGTAAATAATAGTATTGTGTTTGTAATCACGCTCCTCTTTTCTTTACCCTATATCAAGGAAGGAAAATAGTTTCATAGGGACTCGTAAAAGCCGAACAGGGTGACTGACTGGGTGAGTGCGAAGGCCTAAGCAGCGAGTGAATAACGCATTTTGGGACTGTGTCTCTGTGAACTATGGCATCCAATGGACACGGAGGGCAAAATAATGTTTTTTTCTTTTTTTAACTTTTCTTGACTTCTTGATTTTTTTCCTACGGTCCAGCCTCAGAGTAAAAAAAAAAAAAAAAAAAGGAGAATTCAATTGCACTGGTTAATTTTGATGAAAAGTTTGAAGCAATTTGAAAGAAAGTTATTAAATTGTTTAAAGAATTCATTCGCACTAAAGAACATTTTTGAGTTCAGCCTCACCATGGAAATATTTTAACTACGTGGAGTACGACTATGGAAATAAAAGATTTTTTGCTGCATGTCTCGTGATAACGGTTCTTTGGGCTAGGGTAGAATTTTAAAACCTCACATGGATATGTTCCATGCACCATGGTCCCATGTAATTGAATGTTATTTTGCTAGTTGTACTTGTGGGTTGCCAGAAGTAATGACAGGAGTCTGGTCTCCGAACTATCCCCTGCTTCTCCTCTTAATTGAATATCTCAGCTGCACCAACGGTCTAAGAATTTTTTTCGTTTCAAATTAAAGAACTAACCAATAAAAATAATTAGTGTGTGAGAAAAAGTAGTTACACATAACACAGATATTGTTTGTGAATGTGATCGGTGACTAAATAAGAAATGTGTTAAGGTTCCAACATAAAACCAATTGGCAATATGTGGAGTAGTCTAACATGTATTTAAACCATACCAAATGATATGAGGTAGGCGATGTGGGACTTTCAACACACCCCCTCCAACGAAGCCTGCCGGACCAGGCAAAGGGTACTTTTGACCCAACTAAAGGGCAACTTTTGGCCCATGACAATAATCGGAAAGATGTTAGGCTTTGGCTCTGATACCATGTTAAGGTTCCAACATAAAACCAATTGGCAATATGTGGAGTAGTCTAACATGTATTTAAACCATACCAAATGATATGAGGTAGGCGAGTGGAACTTTCAACAAAATGAAATATTGCCAACTTTTTCCTCTCACCGTCCACTGCTATATAGAGAGGGTCTCAGGTCTCAAGGAAGTGTAGCATGGGTCACTGGGCCATCATCTAATGGATCAGACCGAGACCCGAACAACGGGTGTGCCCAGACCAAATCAATCAACACAACATGGGTTAGGTTTAGTGGAGGGGTGTAGGATACCGAATTAAATTAACTTTGACCACCGGAAATTAAATTAGCTCTGAACTCAAAAAGCTACTAATCCATTATCTATAACTTTAGTGTCATTTCACAGAACCAACACGTACATGGCACAACTTTTAGTGAATTTATTATTTCTTTTTAGCTATATGAAACATAGTCAATATAGTATTTCTTTTTCTATTGATATGATATATACTATTTTAAGATATTTCAAGAATAAAATGGTTTGGACCTGAGAGACTCGTTAAATATAGTTCTTGAATGCATCATATAACATGACCACGAGAACTACCTAAAGCAAGTAACATTACATTATTTATTAAATATTCGTTTATTAAAAAAAAAAGTCAATAAATAACACGCCGACAGTTCCGTACTTCCCTTGAATGCAAACCAACATTCTCCAAAACATAAGGCCACGCATTGCTAGTGTTATCCATCCGGAAGTACATATTACAAATATAAAATGCAGAGGCCGATATATGTTTAATTGCATATCATGTGGGTCTTTGATATAAAGATGATGGACAACATTTTTCCAAAACTATGAACTTTCAATACGTGGTGAGAATTGCAAAACGAGGTTGCTGATGACAACTTGAGGGACTAACTATTCTTCAGAAGATATCTCTTAATGCTATGTGGATTTTGGAGCTTATTTTGATTTTCAAGCACGAGCTCGTTTCTTGGTATTTTGGTAAATAGCAATAAGATGAATTGTGAAAGCACTATTCCTATAAAATCATTTCAGAGGCAAGTACGGTCATACAATCTAACATATCGAGATGTTGACGGAGCAGACTTCAACTTGAATTAGTTAGTAAGTCTAATATTTACAGTGCACAGACAAAATATGTCTGTCGGTTTCATTTATAATTTGTTGAAGATTCATTCCCAATCAGCATCAAAGAATCCAGCATCTTTCATCTCGGAATAGTATGCAGTGTCCAAAAGGAAATCTTCCTCCTGCAGCACATAATATGATGTTCATGCATATATTATAGAAACCAAATAGAAAGAGGAAATAACAGAGTGCTTACCCGGAAGAAATCTGCGAGAAATGTTACGTAAAGAAATGGAAGATAGAAAGAGTGATAACAAAGCACTGTGAGATCATACAACCTGCAGATGAGAAGTATTATCTGTTTATTCAGTGTTGAAGTTATCGTGATGATGATTAAGTACCTCCTCTGAGTTCTAATTGACAAGAAGATATATAGTATTACCAATTGCCGAGTCCAATGCCAATTCCTGCTAGTCCACAAGCTAACAGGGTAATCACACTGAAGACAAACATCACAGCAACATAGTTGTACAAAGCTGGTCTCGCTGCAAAGATGAAAGAAAATGAACTTTTTGGAATGTATACAGATGTTCAACTCAATGATACACTAATAATGTTACTTCTATGGTTCCTCCTTTGGAAAGTGTGAATGTCCATTCTACGTGCACAAAACACTTATCCACAAACTCTTGGAACTTATACTCACGTGGAAGCTTCTCTCTCCATTTGGAGAAATGTGCAAATAAAATGAAACCATATGCTGCAGCAAGCAATAGTTTATGTAATATCCATAAACTCCACTTGATTGTATGAGCGCTTCCAACATGGCGATTGAACAATGGGACACCAAATCCAAAAACATATATTGCCTGATAAGGAAATGCTTAATCAGCAAAAGACAAATCAAGAAACCATACATAAAACGTGATGACAGTTAAAAAGCAGTTTGAGTAATTAACATCTACAGAACAATCAACACGTGGCAGGGTATAAACGATCTGGCACTGTGCCTCATATCGTATGTGATGAGAAACAGGCATGAATGGAAGAAAAACTTCAAGTTGAAACCACCATTTTTTGAAAAGAAAAGTGAAGTTCAATATTGAAGAGAAGTTAAATTCTAAAACAATAAAATGGTGCCCCCAACATAACTGGAACAATTTGTGTTAGTTCTTATATGATACATCTAAGAAGGGGGGATAGGTGCAAAATTTCAGCTGTAGTTAAGGTTACAATCCGAGAATTATATTTCCTCTTTTATTAAAATATCATATTTGAATCCTCAGTGCGGTATCTGTTAGTGAGCAGTTTCACAGCATGCTATACCCCCTATCGATCTTGTGTCCCAATTGTAGCTAATGATTTGTAGTGATCTAAAAACGAAGGTTCCAATTGAAATTAAAATCTAAACTCCCTGCAGTTAAAAATACCCCATTGCCAAATCATGTGATTAAAGAGAATTATATACTTATGTGAACATGACCTATGATAAGAGATAAAGCAAGAGAAACAAATGAAGTTCTTTAATAAGTATTGTTGGTTGACCAAATTGTGTTTTGGATTAATCAATTAATGGGTTTTAGTTTGGTTTTATTACAAGTTGTAATAAGGGCCCAATTGAAAATTTAATTATCAGTCTTTGGGAGACCAAGAGGGTGTATAGCTAAATGACTTTTGGTTGCCACAATTTCAGTTACAATTAGTCATTAAGTAGTTTTCAATTCCTAGGTTAATGAATCATTATTAGCATTTATTTTCCTTTATTGAATCTTTGTAATTCTGATGACAAAGCTTCTATAAAACTAAACCATTTTTATCAAAAATAACAAGTGGAATTTTATTCAGAAACATTAGAGTTTATCTCTTTTATCTTAATGAGAGTGATTCTCCTAAATTCTTGAGTGATTCAAGAACCTTTGGACTGTAACAAAGGACTTTCACATCCTTTGTGAGTTGCCTTCCTTGGGAAGAGTGATTTTTTCCTTCCACATTATTACTAAATTCCTAAATTTCTTATAAGGTTATAACCCTAAATATCCTAAATCACCCCTTGTAATTCATATCATATACAGTTTTAAAAATACAGCACACTACATGCCATATTTAATGAAGACAGAATAAGCTAGATCAGTCAGACCATGACGAGACATCTAGATCCTTTTATGTATTGAACTTGGAAGCTAGGCCAAAAGACTAAATTCAATATGGAAGCGAAAGAGAACCATGGATAATTGGATATGGAAGTAAAAAATGGTGATGCAACCACATTAATCCATACACATAAACTTTCTATCCAAATTTTTTGAAAAACTTGTAAGGCTACAAGCCTATGTGGGTTTTCACTTCTGATAAATTTGAGAGATGCCAAATACTGTCACGCATGAATACTATCAAAATTTGGGACATTATGAACTTCTTTTAATAAAAACAAGCTTTCCCACTTTGTTAGTATCACAGAGATTACATAAAATACAAATGAATTGTTCCACAGAATGATAGAGTTGAGTTCAACAATATGACAAAAAGAAAAAGGCTCAAAAACATTTTCAAGTAAACTCTCAAAAAGGAGGTGCAACAATTCAACATGACTTTTGGAAATTTCGATCATGGAGATTCACTGCGGGAGACTAATTAATACTCAATACAGAAAGTAGTCCCCATGAACTTATGAACAAGTACCAGAGACGTACAATCACTGCCAAAACAAGATTACTTATCATTTCAAAGGCAAAGTTTGTTTTACATCATATTACATACTGCAAAACTTTGTCAAGAATTGTGTTTGTTGCACCCATTGCTAATCCTTCAAATAAGGTGGTGCTCTTGGAAGAGATCAATGTTGCTGATATTAGTTAATGATGATATTTGCAATTGTGATGTAGGTTAACACCAATTTACATTGTAAACAAGAAACAAACCAGCAACTGGTAGGGAGAAAATCAAATGCTATTGATAAAGGGGAAAATTATATGAAACCAATAAGCAAGTCGAAACACCATTCAGTCATAAAAATCCATATATATTTCACAAAACATATACAAATGCATAGCACATGCATGTAAATAACTAGAATGAATTAAAATCAAACTCACCTTGAGAAGGGTATCCACAAAGACAATAATTCCTGATGCAAGGAAAGAGTGTGCTAGAGCTTCCATGCCATTCATATAGTTATCCTTCAGTAAGAAAGCTATCAAGCTTATCTCTAGACACAGCATACCAGACGCTGTAAATAATGACAGCAGATTCCATGCAACCTCCTTTCCATGAGAGCACTGCCATGCCTGCTTAAGCAAAAAAAATAAAAAAAATTCAAACGTTAAAAGAAGGAAACGCACAAGTCCTACTGTCAACTGAATGGGAATAAACTAAAGTGATAATCAAAATTGCCATTGAAGCACACAAAGAAATGAGAAAACTATGACGTAGATTTTGCACTCATGCTGCTTTTACCCACTGGGCTCAAAATCAAACAGTGACCAATAGCTGAAAATCTTGATGCAGATTTTTAAACGTCCATGAAATTATATGGCAGGAAACAAGTCTTCAGCATCAGTGTAAATGCTACATCGTAACAAAAGCAATAGTTTGAAGTAATAACACATTCATAGCAATAGGTTTTGGGAATTATGAGTAGCTAGCATGGTAAATTAAACATTTTAAATAAAACTTGCCACTTCATCTATTTTTCCTTCTGTTCTGGTGTAACATCGACCTTGAAGATGGACCCCAGCCAGGAACACCTACATGATCAGCACCCTTGGTACTCTCGTACATACTCATTAAAATCGCAGCTTTGCAAACACTAGCCTATACAACAGCTTTCCAGAAGCCAAACTGTGGACACACCCACCACTCCTACCAGCCTTGTTATTGACTTGAGAGTCAGATTTCTTGCAGGTGACTACTGCCTGCCATCCTTCCACCCTTGAGCTTTCATGTTGAATACCTTTCTTTGTGCATTCTCAATTATTGACAGTTTTTTTCTTTCCAATACTTGGTCAACTTCAGAGATATGATAGATCCAGCTCCCAAAATCACTTTTGTTAATTAAACATTTTAAATAAAATTGGTTGTCTCATATGCTTCTTTTATACGTTCTCATTTATTGCTAGCATTTTTTTTCCTTCCTAATGTGCTGATGGACTTCAAAAGTCCTCTTCCCAGCTTTCACTCACCAAAGATTAGCTAATATATGCCAATTCCCTCCCCTTTGCCCTCATGTTTTCGTATTGGGGAGACCAGCTGTTTGTTGAGTTTGAAAGAAGAGAGGAGTGGAAGGAAAATACCCAAACTCTGCTGCCAGAAAATCAATGGATGTGTCCCAAATCGCATTCCACAACAAATTCAATAAGTAATGCACTACGAAGTGGAGAGGGGATCGTACAAGCTGTATGCTAAATAGTGACAACGAATGGTCATCCAAATAACCTTTTTAATTATCAGACAGTGTACATATCACATGCACTGAAAACCAATCAAAAAGTATACGTATGATAATTTTGTTGATTCTTACAATACTTGTCTCAAAATCATCCGTAGTATGATTTCTTACTCATGATAGTGTAAAATATTTTACACCATCCATCCATAGATTTAAAGCACTCCAACAAATTTTGGGGGTAACAAGTAATTTCAAGGAAATTTCTGAGACAGGACCCCACCCAAACATGTACTAGCAACGTCCCCAGAAACTTCCACATATATAAACAACGCCTTGTTCTAAGAATCGCCCCAGCCACAAACAGATGCTAACAAAACTTTCTTACATGAAAATCAATTGCACACAGTGACACACCCCATAATCCCACATGAACTCTGAAATGAGTTCATGGTTGAAATTTGCTCTGTGTGCCTATGATCTCACACGTATTACTCAAAAATAACCCCTACTGGCACAACTTTATTGCATCTTCTCAAGAAAATAACCGAATATTTTCCCTTTCCATTTTCTAAATCAGTATCGAAGCAGAAGTGAAACAATATATACACAAAGGAAAGATGTGATGTACCTGAAGAAAAGACCAGGCGAGGTTTAAGAGCGTAACGAGCCAGAGGAGGGCATAATAGGTAACGACAACATAGGAGCCTCGACGACAGAGGCTGTTGAGGTTCTTCTTGGCGTGTACCGCAAGATACAGAGCGAACAACACCGACGAAACGACAAGGAAGATGCCGTACCCATCGCACTTCAGATCGCTGCCAAGTGGCGACAAAGCTTCGTATTCAATACTCTGTGGCATGCTTTCAGGGGCTGAGATCGGTTGAGAAGAAAAGGGGTTTGGGGGAAACGTTGGACATCATTTTGGTTCCTCGCAAAGTGGAATTTTCGTCAACGAGATCGTAGAATTGAGTTGATGATGGAGCTAACAACCGACTTTGTTCTCTTGTGACCAAAGTTTCCGTGTAATGATACCAATGATTTTACAAGTTTTTGGTGTAAATATACTAATACCGAATTACTACAGCTTGATAATCATACTCCAATCAACAATAACTATTCAATAAAAAATCAGATATTTATATTAAAAAATATCAAAAATTGTTTTTGTTATATAATTTTTTTATTATCAATAGAACATTGTGTGGTTTTGAATGTTTACAAGAAAAAAGGGGAGCACAAATCTATATGTCTGAATACGGTTAATAGATAGCTACGTTTTTTTAAATGTGTTTAGGAATTTTAAGCCTCCAAAATCAGACTTAAATTAATAATAATGATAAATCTAAGACTTAGAAAAGTCAAAACCTGACCTGATATATTTCCACCTTCATTATAAGCATTAAAAAAAAGGAAAAAAAATATGACAATAATGTATATATCATGATTTTTTTTTTCTAAGATAGTTGGAGTTCTAAAAAAAATCAAAATAGTTGGAGAACGTTTATTGTAGATTTAATTGTTACTGAAATATTGGTACTTTAAATTGACATTTCTCTTGATAATGCTAACATACAAATTTACAAAAGTAGTATTTCCTCTTCTTCTTTTTCTCTCTTTACTGTTATTAAATACCAAACCAATGTAAAAAATGGAATTTTTTTCTACCAGGACGAATATATGTTTTCTTGAATGATAAATACTATTTTTTAAATATTCACTTTATTGTTCTTACCCAACACGAAACAAATGTGAGGGAAAAACCATATATTCTAAACTATGGAACAGTTAGGTTTTTTAGTTTTTGTTTTTCATCACCTTATAACATTTTTCATGTACTATTTTTTTTTTCTTGATATATAGGTTATAAACTTATAATTATTTTATATTCCAACTTAATTAATTCGCATATAAACTTAACAGGCATTATTGTTAATTTTCTAATGCCAACCCTTTAAAAATAAAAAATAAAAAATAAAGAAATAAAGCATTGACTTTATTTTTTATTAACATGCGATGCTCTTTGGATACACATTATGGTGAAGATGAATATACATGTTTTGAGAGCCTAGGGCGAGGGTGGACAACGAGAGGCACTGCTCTTTGGAGAGTGAGTCCATATGCTTCGTCCATGTTAAGCTTTTTTGGGTCAAACCCATTCTCCAACTCCCAATCAAATGCATGAACTAGAGTAGCAATGAACAGTTGAACCATCCTTATGCCTAAGTTCATACCAACACATACTCTACGTCCAGCACCAAAAGGTAGAACCTCAAAGTTATTGCCCCTAACATCAACATCAACCTTCTCACTACCGGGGAGGAACCTTTCTGGCTTGAACTCGAATGGACCAACCCATTCCTTAGGGTCACGTCCTATGGCCCAAACATTGACCAAGAGAGTTGCATCTTTGGGGATGTGATAACTAAATATCTCAACTCTGCTCAGCAACTCGTGGGAGGGAAAGAGGGGTTGGTGGGTGGAGACGTAGCGTTTCCTTCACCACAGCATCCATGTAGGGAAGGTGGGGCAAGTCTAATTCAGTCACAAGCCTATCCTGTCCCACAACAATATTCAACTCTTCTTGGACTTGGACCATAACTCTAGGGTTCTTAATAAGTTCTGCAAGAGCCCACTCTATTGTGCTTGATGATGTGTCTGATCCAGCTGTAAACATGTCCTACAAAAGAATCATCAATGTAGGTGTAGTTATTTGTTCTTGGGTTGAGTATATGACTAAATTCTTTCAACAAGTTTGTGTCCTTCTTGAGGAGTATCTTTAAGTGATAGCAATACACTCAGCAAGTCTAGGCGTTTCTCATTCCTTACAATCTTGTGTTCCTCGAGAATGAGGATAAAAATACATCAAACCTCTTGTGCAGTTTTTTCGTCTTGGCTTTCACTCCATGAAGATCAAACCAGTCTAAGACAGGAATGAAACTACTAGAAAAATGTTAAATAGTAACCGAAATCAGTGACCGAAAAATTTAGTTACTATCAGTGACCGAATCAGTAACCAAATTATTATTTTTTAGTCTAGTAACCGAAATAGTAACCGAATTTTCGGTCACAAAAAATCGGTTACTATTTCAGTTACTTTATTATTTAAGTAATCGATTTAGTGACTAAAATTTCGACTCACTAAAAAAATAATTTTTAAACTGATAACTATTTTTCATTTATATAAATATTTTATTTAAAATATTTTAAATATAAATTTACTTAATGATTTAAAATAATTGATAACATTTTTAATAAAATTATAAATATTTTAAAAAAATTGTTTACTAACTTATTAAATAATTTAGTAATATAATTATTTGATTTTATTTTTTAATTTAGCATGTGAATAAAAAAATTAAAATTGATTATTAAATTAGTCACCGAATCGATCACATCGATTCTGGTCCACCGAATCGTACATCGATTCGGTCACCGAATCGATCACATCGATTCGGTCACCGAATCGATCATTAATTCGATCATCGATTCGGCCACCGAATCGGTCACTAATTCGATCATCGATTCGGTCACCGAATCGGTCACTCGATCTTGGCCACCGATTCGATCATCGATTCGGCCACCGATCTCGGCCACTGATTCGATCACAGATTCGGCCACTGATTCGTATCATCGATCTAGTCACTAAATCAATAATTAAATTAATTATTAATTTAGTCTCTTTATATATATATATATATATTTATATATATGTATATATATATATATATATATATATGTATATATATATATATATATATATATTACTTGTATGTTAATAAAAATGTATTTCAATGTATTTATAAAAAATTAAAATTATTTTAATTACTTGAATTGATATTTTAAATTTATATTAATATCTTGAATAATTTAATAGTTGGATATATATATATATATATATATATATATATATATATATATATCACTTTAATTTTTTTAATTAAAATTAATTTCATAAAAAAATTAATATTTGAAAATTAAAATGAATATATATATATATATATATATATATATATATTTTAAAGATGATATATTCAATGTATGTTAAAAAAGTTCAAGCCAAACTGCTTTTATAGAAGATTTTCAAAACTCATTGGTTTAATTAATCTGTTAAAAGATTCTTTTAATATGTTAAAAGTGCAGCTTTAATCTGTTAAAACTTCTTTTAATCCATTAATACGTTCTTGATTCTTTAACAGATTTATTTTAACTAATACGACAACGCTTATATCAATTAAAACACTTTACAAAAAATCTTCTAAGTTGATTTAATCGATTGTTCGCGATTCAATCGATTGAAATACTCGCAAAACTTTCTCCTAAAACTTTTCAAGTTATTTTAACTGATAAAAATAAGTTTTAATCGATTAAAACGCTGTACGTAAACTGCTTTAATCGATTGAAACGAGATTTAATCGATTAAAATAGTTATGATCGGTCATAAATGAATTCTGACCGATCATAATTGAAACCATATAATAGCTGGTTCAAGGGTTAATCGCTATCTAAGTCATATTTTAAGAGCGGTTCTCGTGTAACCGCTATGTAAACCTCATCTCGCTTGAGCGACAATATTCTCGCCGAGCTAAACGCCCCTACACAAAATTAGTACTTCGGGTTGTATTTCAGCTGAGCGAGCTCTATCTCGCTCGAGCGATAATTGATTCTGATCGATTATATTTTTGAAATGATCGATCATATTTGGTAATTTTTTCAAATAATTAATTATAATCGATTAGTTTTCTAAATTATTGATTAGAATTGATTAGTTTTTCAAATAATAGATTAGAATTGATTAATTTCTAAATATATACTAAAAAATATAATTAAAACTATAAATTAGTTAAGAATATTGACTATTGTAAAGATAAAGTAGTAACATGGGAGGAGATGAGGATGATAATATAATGATAGAACTTACAAAAATGTAGAATTGAGAAGTTTGAAACAAATAAAAATAAGAAAATAGATATTTAATTACACTTTTAATAAATTTAAGATAATACTAGTTTTAATTTTTATTTTTAAATATTTATTTTAAATATTTAAAACAGAGAAACTATAATTTTAGTTTCTAGCTACCTGAATTTAAAGAATTAAATTTATTATTTTATCTTTTAATTTGTAGAATTAAACTCAATATAATTGTTAAAAATACTTTGTAGAGGCATTTGAGAAAGCTTTTGTCAAAATACTTTGTTTTTAATTGTTAAAAACATTTGTAGAGGCATTTTGCAAAACATAATTGAGATGATATGATAGTGGTTTCACCTTAACCGCTATCTAAAGTATAATTAAGATAGCGGTTAATGGTTAAGTGCTATTAGAAGTTCACTTTTAAGAGCGGTTCTCGTGGAACCGCTATCTAAAATGTATTCCGCTTGAGCGACAATATTATCGCTCGAGCGAAACTCCAAGTGCACATGAATTCGCATTCTCGGGTGTATTTCGCTTGAGCGACACTACTCTCGCTCGAGCGAAATACGATCCTGATCGATCATAACTTGAAATGACCGATTATAATTGAGAGGATATAATAGCGGTTCCTCGTAACCGCTATCTAAAGTGTATATTAGATACTCGAGGTGTATTTCGCTTGAGCGAGACGTAAGTCCGATTCTGATCGATTATATTTTCAAAATGACCGATCATATTTGATAATTTTTTCAAATAATTAATTATAATCGATTAGTTTTCTAAATTATTGATTAGAATTGATTAGTTTTTCAAATAATATATTAGAATTGATTAATTTCTAAATATATACTAAAAAATTATAATTAAAACTATAAATTAGTTAAGAATATTGACTATTGTAAAGATAAAGTAGAACATGGGAGGTGATGAGGATGATAATATAATGATAGAACTTACAAAAATGTAGAATTGAGAAGTTTGAAACAAATAAAATTAAGAAAATAGAGATTTAATTACACTTTTAATAAATTTAAGATAATACTAGTTTTGATTTTTATTTTTAAATATTTATTTTAATTATTTCAAACAGAGAAACTATAATTTTAGTTTCTAGCTACTCGAATTTAAAGAATTAAATTTATTATTATTTAATCTTTTAATTTTAGTATTAAAATTTTAAATTATATTTTTCTACTTTGAGAATGAACCATATAATTAAACTCAAAATTGACAATATTATAATACATTTTTGAACTCTTTTGGATTAATTTTTTTTCCTAATTTTTGACAAAGTTAATTTTAATATTTAAAAGTATTTAACATTTTGAATTTCGAAAGGTTTTCTCTAATAGAAAATTTAAAAACATAATATAAAAAAAATAGTTAATATAAGTTTTCAAGTTATTTTAACTGATAAAAATAAGTTTTAATCGATTAAAACGCTTGCAGTAAATTGTTTAATCGATTGAAACTAGATTTTAATCGATTAAAATAGTTATGATCGGTCATAATTGCATTCTGACCGATCATAATGGTAACCATATAATAGCGGTTCAACAGTTAACCGCTATCTAAGTGAGATTTTAAGAGCTGTTCTCGTGTAACCGCTTATCTAAATCAGTATTTCGCTGAGCGATAAGTTTCTCGCTCGAGCTAAACCGCCTCGCGACAACATTGGTACTCTGGGTGTATTTCAGCTTGAGCGAGTCTAGTCTCGCTCGAAGCGATAATTGATTCTGATCGATTATATTTTTGAAATGATCGATCATATTTGGTTATTTTTTCAAATAATTAATTATAATCGATTAGTTTTCTAAATTATTGATTAGAATTGATTAGTTTTTCAAATAATAGATTAGAATTGATTAATTTCAAATATATACTAAAAAATTATAATTAAAACTATAAATTAGTTAAGAATATTGACTATTGTAAAGATAAAGTAGAAACATGGGAGGAGATGAGGATGATATAATATAATGATAGAACTTACAAAAATGTAGAATTGAGAAGTTTAAAAAAAAATTAAGAAAATAGAGATTTAATTATACTTTTAATAAATTTAAGATAATACTAGTTTTTAAACCTTTTTCTAATATTTTTTTTTAAAATATAATATCATTTTTAATATTTTATAGATTTTATATTTATATATTTATAAAAGTAATTGGATTAAATTTATTATCCTCTCATATATTATTATACATTTAACGTAATTTTAGTTTATTTAAAAATTAGAATACAAATATACTATACCAATATACCATTATATTATTTTCATTGTATATAAATTACAAAATTAATAATTTGTATACTATACTATACTAACATATTATTTGTATACTATACTAATAGTATAATATACTATATTATAATATTATTTGTATACAAAACTAATATCTTTATATATAAATATATAAATATGGAAAGATATAAATATATGTAAAAATATAAACATATAAATATATATAAATATGTAAAGATATAAACATATATCTTTAATATTTTGTAAATGTAAATATATTTTTATTTATAGATTTTATATTTATATATTTATACGGATATACATTTATTTGTATATAAATATAATTTATTTGTAAGTTATTATTAAAAGATCCTAAGTAGCTCAGTGGTTGGAGTTTCAACCTCCAACTCTAAGGCATCGGTTCGAATCCCGACAATGACAATAAACCACCTAATAATAAGTTAAACTTCTAAAAAATATAATAAAGATAGGGAAATAAATATAAATAAAAACTTAAATAAGCAAAATATAATATAATTAAGAAATAGGGAAAATAAATAATAGATATAATAAAAGTGTAAATAAATAAAAAGAATTAAATTTGTTATTGATTAACTTTTTCATTGATTTAGTGATCGATTCAATGACCGATTCCATTCGGTCACTGATTCAGTCACTAAATCGTCACTAATCATCATTGATCAGTCACTAAAATCAGTGATCAGGAAATAGTGACTGATTCCAGTTAGTCACTATTTCGGCCACTATTTTAATTAGTAACCGATTTTGTAGATTTAGTGACCGAATTTCGGTCACTATTTGATGTTTTTCTTGTAGTTTGAAGACTCCAAGCAACACCATAAGTTCCAGCACCATAGATTTAAACTCATCCGCCTTAGGATCACAACTATTACTCTCGTCGTTGAAAATTCGTCGTCCTATTATTGTTCTTGCCACTATGTTGGTGGTATACACATTCAACAATTGTCTTATATTCGCTGCTTTAGAACCTGATCTTGCTAAATTACGTATCAATCTTTCTACCTCTTCCTGCATATACGTGTATCAATTACATATTTATTTATTCTTCAGCTTGAAGTTTAACTCTCTTGGTTATGAAAAACTTCGTCCAAACAATTTTTTTATAATTTCTTTTATATTATAAATTAAAATATAGGACACTCTAGTTTCATTTTCTTTACCGTTTAATTATATATTTTTAGTGCTTGTTTATTTGTCTAATTCAAATTGTATGTCACGTATTAATCTTAAAAACAGTAAAACTTATTCTTTGTAGACCATCCCATATTATATTTTTTTATTTTTTTATCTCAATGTATGTATGTCAGCTCGTCAACTCTACATCATTTTCAATACCGATTTTATTTCTATTTAAAATTAAATGCCATTTTTTTAAATATCAATAAATAAAAATCAACCTCGATACAAGTTAAATTGTTCCTTGTATAAAATTAGCAAAAAATCATATCCATTTAATTATCACGAAAATGATGCTCACTCACCTGTCGCAGGTGACTAAAATCATCCATGGCCTTAGCAGAAAACACGTGAACGGTACTTAATTTCCGTAGAAATCTCCACAGTGGCCCGTTCGGAGTAAAAACAAGGTTTTGTTTGTTATACGACAAGTATGCGGTTCTGAAGTTATGTGGCCGGCTGCAGAAATTGGCGTCGTGAACCTTGAAGAACTGCTCCGCCACGGCGGCGGAAGCTGCCACCACCATGTCCACGGAACCCAACCGGAGGTGCATGAGCGGCCCGTAAGTCTTGGCCAAGGCAGCCAGGCCCTGGTGTGGCGCTGGGCCCATGTGAGGCAAATTTCCCACGATGGGCCATGGCCTGGGCCCTCGTGGTAGAGGTAATGAAGGCCCGGTTATGAGCTTCAAAAGCCGGTATATAAGGGTCGCAGCTGCAACAGTTGCAAAGACAATAACCCAAAGAGACATTGATATTAAGTGTATTATGTGTGTGCTATAAATATATGCTAACGAAGTATGAACCAAATATTGTGTGATTTCGTACCAAGACAGCACCACTTATATATATATATATATATATATATATATATATATATATATATATATATATATATATATATATATATATATATATATATATATATATATATATATATATATATATATATATATATATAAGGAGTTTGAAAAGATCAACGAAAGCAAGAAGATAATCTTTGGTGTTGGATTAAAATTTTACACAAGTGTAGTTTTGAAGTGACATCTTAAGGAAAAGGATGTATATATGAGTTGAAATGAAACGTAGAAATTTCCTAATTTATTTTTCTTTGAAAATAAGGTGATGTAGTACCAGATTTTGATAATCTAACATCGGGGGCATCGGCGAGAGGTGACAGTTAGTGGAAAAGGTCAACGGGATTGAAGATTATGCAGCAGAGACATACATGACCAACAAGTTAGGTGAACCTGCTGCTACTCTGACCGCCGAATTACATATCCTAATCCTTCCTACTACAAGACAGGTTGGTGATTGCACTCCCACAAATTTATTATATTTTAAAAAAATACAATTTTAATTATAGGAGCATTTTATAAATATTTATTTATTAATATTTTTATTAAACAAAATTTAAAAATTATGTATTTATGTATTAAAATATGTGATTATAATTAATAATTTAAAATTAATTAATTCATAATTATTATTCTAAGTATAATATTAATATTTAAATATTTTAACAGCATAATAATAAAACTGTAATATTTAAAATTATAGTTATTTTATTTTAACTTATTATGTGAATTAAAAAAATAGTCAATGGGTCACTCTATTTTTCTCCACCCTTATCCCACAAATTGACAGACTCAAAAAAAAGAAAAGAAGATTAAAACAGTCTAATGAATTAAAATTATCAATCTGACGTTAACGCTGTGCTTGTTTGAACTGATTTGCGACGAAATACTATTCACGAAGACAGAAACACGACATTCACACACGTTTGGTTGAACTGATTTGCGACGAAATGCAGGCGAGGAAAAAGGGGAGATGAAAGTAATGAAAAGTCGCAGTTACCCTGCAATATATGATAGCGGTTAAATCATAACCGCTATTATAACAGCACTTCTAATAGCGGTTAAGCCTTAACCGCTATCTAATATACACTTTAGATAGCGGTTACAAAGAAACCGCTATTATATCAAATTTCGCTCGAGCGAGATATAGTCGCTCAAGCGAAACACAACCCCAGACGCAACAAGGTTCTTAAAAGGAGCTTATAATAGCGGTTAAACCTTAACCGCTATCTAATATACACTTTAGATAGCGGTTACAGAGGAACCGCTATTATATCCTCCAATTATGATCGATCATTTCACGTTATGATCGATCAGAATCAAATTTCGCTCGAGCGAGATATAGTCGCTCAAGCGAAACACAACCCCAGACGCAACAAGGTTCTTAAAAGGAGCTTATAATAGCGGTTAAACCTTAACCGCTATCTAATATACACTTTAGATAGCGGTTACAGAGGAACCGCTATTATATCCTCCAATTATGATCGATCATTTCACGTTATGATCGATCAGAATCAAATTTCGCTCGAGCGAGATATAGTCGCTCAAGCGAAACACAACCCCAGACGCAACAAGGTTCTTAAAAGGAGCTTATAATAGCGGTTAAACCTTAACCGCTATCTAATATACACTTTAGATAGCGGTTACAGAGGAACCGCTATTATATCCTCCATTATGATCGATCATTTCACGTTATGATCGATCATAATTAAATTTCGCTCGAGCGAGATATAGTCGCTCGAGCGAAATACAACCCGAATCTTAAAATATTTTTTTGAATATTATGTTTTTAAATTTGCTATTAGACAAAACCTTTCGAATTCAAAATGTTAAATAATTTTAAATATTAAAATTAACTTTATCAAAAATTAGGGAAACAAAATTTATCCAAAAGAGTTCAAAATGTACAAGAGTATTCTCAATTTTGATGTTTAATTATATTATTAATTCTCAAAGTAGAAAATTATATTGTAATTATTTTATCTCAAGTTAATGTGATGAGACGATCATAAACATTTCAACATTCTGAGTCAGATATATGGGACATCTTCGTCTCTCCCAGTTGTTCATGTTCTTGAGTGGAAGTGATTGAATGATGTGAACCTGGAGGACTTGACTACAAAAGATGAATAACATTATAATTATTTGTTTGAAGAGCATTAGTGTGCATAGGTTTAAAATTTTAGTAATGTTTCATTTAATTATTATTCTATTTTCACTGTATTTTATATTTGTTTTAAATAATAATGTACAATTATATTATTAGTTTTCATAATTATTTGTTACTATCAGATCAATATTAATTATTATTTTATATTTTATAATTATTTAATTATTAGTCAAATAATTTATTTAATATGTCAACATTATTTGAATATGAATATGCAATGTACATAATTTTGTAATTGTTTATTTATATAATTTTTAATAACTATCTAAAAAAAGTTAATTTTTTAAATTTGTTTCCAATTACAAACACTTTTAATTTTGTTTTTTCTTTTAAATATATAATCAATGTTAAAATATGGATAATTAATTAAAAATTTATATTTATAATCATTTGAACCTTATTTTATATAAAGGGTAAAATGGTAATTTTCTTAAATAATCAACATAAAATTATAATTTTTATATCTCATATCAATCAAATCATTCACAATTTCCCATAAACATTTCATTCATCTCCATTTCTCTTCAAATCCCTCCTTTTCCACTCTCTCATTTCCACTCTCTCAAATCACTCCAACCAAACAAAGCCTAAGTTGCATCAGTCTAATGTTATCATTTCTTATGATTTTAATTTATAATTTCACATATTTAAGACCAATTAATAAGATTTAAAAGATTTTATAAAAATTTAACAATATTTTAAAAAAATCAAATATTTTTATAATTTTAATTTGTGAATAGAATATAGGATATTCAATCATAATATTTAAATGAAATTTATGAATTTACAGGATTTAATATATTTAAAAAAAATCTTCCACCTTTCTTTATTAATAAAAAAATAAAATAAACAATCATTTGATGAATATATTAATAATTCTTTGCTTCTAAAATAAAAAAAATATAAATAATAGGTAAATATTTGTCTATTAATGTTCTCTTTTTTTAGTAGTTATTTTTCATAAAATTTAAATAGTTACATTTGCGACTCATTGACCATAAACGAATATAACACATATTACTCAATGGTGATTATCACAATGTTATGGCTAAAATGAATGTTTTAAAATTACGTCAAAGAAAGTACAATATCAAATATAAAACCCAAATTAATAAAAAAATCTTATATTTTCATTTATTGAACAAACGTATATATTAACAATAATAACCATAATAATGCTATATTATAGAAAATAATAATCGTCAAAATAATACCACATATTTTATTGTCTTCTAAAAATAATGCTACTATGTAATTTTAGTTCATATTTAATTTGTTAAAATATTTGAGCATACGTTGGTATTATTATAATAAAGTAAAATACTTCTACTTTAAAAAAAATGTTATAAATTAAGTTTTTCTTTATATTTTCTTATATATATATATATATATGTGTGTGTGTGTGTGTGTGTGTGTTTTTTTTGCATATGGGTAAAAGAACCTTGAATGTGTGATTCACTGGAAACAAAAAATTTGATTGATTTATATGTTAATTTTAACATTTTTTTTAAGATTGGACTTCCTGTTCTTTTACAAATTGTTAGAAAAATTTTGTTTAAAGAATACAAAATGAGTTAATGGTGATGGAAACTAAGTTTTCAATTTCATAATATTTTAGGTTAGATGATCTTAAGGTCTGAATGTGACTTAATCACAATATTTGGGATTGTGATTGAATAGTATATTTTGAAATTTAAGCTTGTATTAGGTAGTTTATGAAATTTAAGCGTGTATTCTAGAAAAAATAAACCTTTATTTTAATATAAAATATAATTGTTCAAGAGAGACTTAATTGTCTAAGTAACAAAACTTTGAAATGAAATTATTTATCTCAATCTCATGTCGTTCAAATGATAAATTTTCACTTAAACTAATAATTCGTCATGGTGTGAGGTTTAGCTCTTTTTGCACAACTTATAATATTTTTCCATAAACAAAATTATTCAAAAGAGAAATGACAATCCTATTAAAGATTTTTCCCTCAAGTAATAATCCTTTATAACATGTATATTTCTAAATGCCAGGTTATTATATTTTTATTTCGTGTATTAAGGTTATTGTGATATTCATATTAATGTCTCAGAAAAAAAAATAATGTAGATAATAATTTTCATGAGAGTTAATCATAAGATGAGCTATTATGATTATTCTTTCACAAACCCTGAATTATTTTGAAACCAAAATAATTATTATAGGCATATTTTTTATTTATAATTTGTATAATTTTTTTATTTGCAACAAAAAATATAAGTTGATAATCGTAGACAGGAAAACAATTATTAGACAATCAATACAATAATATAATAATAATATCTATTATTATATTGAATTATCTAATAGTTGTTTTGATAAAATAGGTTATTAAAATATAATCATCTTTTGCAATATCCACTTGAAAGCTTGACATTAAAGATAATTGGAGCATTTTTTTCTTTTCTCTTTTTTCTTGTTTTCATGTGTCGTGATTTTCTTATCCCACTTAATCAAAAGAGAATAGAAAAAAAATATACTAGTTAAAAAAAAAATAGTAAATATATCGTTTTCAAAACTCTAGATGCAAATAAATATAAAAATTAGAAAAATGTCATTCATATCCATTTATATTTTGTGAAGTAAAGGATGAGAAAAATTTGTCATTTTAATTATAAGTCACCTTTAACAAATGTACTACTCTAGAACCTAAGAATCTGACCGAACGTTAACTAAGTTTATTCCTAGTGTATAA